TTTAAAAGACCAGGGCCACGCCAGCATCATCCAAGAAGAGCTTTTGGTGCCCACTTCAGGAATCATCTGGACTTCTTCACGGTGTTGGTAGAATCAGGTAACGAAAGTCAATACCAGTCATTCAGGAGGTACTCATGACCGTTTAAACTCACATACTTAATAAAACACCTCCTGTGATAAGCAGTGATTATATAGTAACTATTGCCATGGTCAGACCTGTGTGCTCAAAACATTGCCTGGGCTTCTGCAGCTTCTGTTATGGATATGAGCTGGCGAGGATGTCTGGATCTGTAGTATGTTCCTTATTCTTACCTGAGATCAGGCTGGGAGAAGTAGGAGAAGTAAAGAGCCCTGTAACATCTATGATTTATCTTTGAAGAGTTAGGCTATCTTTTACATTTAAGAAGTGTGAATTAGAGAAAACTTGGCTAGCTCATCAAACATCTTCTTACATTAAAAATTAAAAACTTACCAGTATGTAAATATAATTTATTTTAAGCAGTCAAATTAGTATCTGAACACCTGAAGCTAAATCTTAAGAACCTAGAGTGGTTGTATAGGAGTATTTTTTTTTATAAGTACAAAAAAGGACAGGGCGAGTCAACTTGATTAAACCGAAATCAAGTTAGTGTTTTGTCTTGGGCCTAATTCCCTTGTACTTTCAAACAGCTATTAAGAAATGAGCCAAGGAGAAAAACGGGAAAGGGTGTATTTCCTTTAGTGAATGTTTCCCATTTCTGTCTCACATCCAGGGTTGTGTCCTTCACCCACTGGTTCTGTCCCCTCTAGTGACAGTTATCCCAACTTACATTCCTCGAGTCTCTGTTTCCAAACACAACCTCTTCACGGGCTGGGCTGTGGGAGGGGGACTGGAATCTGCATGCAGGGGGCAAGGAATGTCATTAGCTGCACTCAAAAAAGCCCCACTGCCACCCTTGAGAAAGAAGGAAGACTTGGTAGAATCCCATCACCTTTCTGAACCAAAGGGCCTCTTAAAAATTAATTTTTTACTATGAAATGTTTAAGAAAATTGACTAGAACTATGAAACTACATATTGACCCACCTATCTCACCAGAACATTTTGCCATATTTAAGAAACCTTTTCCTTCCTTTTCTCTCTCTGAGCTCTCCGTGTTCTAGCATGCGTGAACACACCGCTGCTAAACCGTTTAAAAGCACATTGCAGACTTTAAGATCCTTTGGCTTGAAGTACTTTGGGCACACATCTCATTCTAATAACGCTATTCCCCTACAACACAGTAACATAGCTAGGAGTTTAATGCAAAACCTCCAGCACACTCTGAGTCAAGTATTCAGTTGTTCCCCTAAATGCTTTATATGTAGTTTTTTTTTTTTTTTTTTTCCCAACTACAAACTACAGATTCAAGGTAAAGAAAATCACAAACGTTGTGCCTTTCTTGGGAACTTAGCGTCTAGCCGTAGTAAGTACATACTCCTCAAAGAAAGGCCTTTAATTACATGCTCCAAACTCTAGGCACTTTTTCATAAAAAGCTTCCTAACACAGAGCCAGAAAGCATTTAGCGGGCGAATAAAACTACACTGGGCTGGCAAGATGGCTCAATGGATAAAGGCACTTGCTGCCAAGCCTGCTGACCTGAGTTTGATCCTGGGGACTCATATGGTGGCAACTCCTGCAAGTTGTCCTCTGACCTCCACACATGCTGTGGCATGCATATGCCGAGTATAAAATTTTAAAAAGGTCAAGTAGCACATATTTCTCTTGAGTACTTCATTTCTTGTTTGAAAACACTTCATAATTTAAATTTTTCAGATTTATTTTTATGTGTATGAATGTTATGCCTACATGTAAATGCACCTGTGTTGTGTAGTGCCAGATGAGGGTGTTAGATCCCCTGTGACTTGAGTTACTGATGGTTGTTAGCCACCAGGTGGGTGCTGGCATTTAAACTCAGGTCCTCTGAATGAACAGCCAGTGCTCTTAACCTCTAAGCCATCTCTCCAGCCCCTTGAAATATTTTTTAGGAGGACCAACCAGATGGTTTATCTTCTGTCATATCGAACACCTATTTGAAAAAGGCAAAAGTGTTCTCACAGTGAGAGTTTGTGGTTCCTTTAGGAGAACTTCCGAAACTACACTCCAAGCCCGCGCTGTGGCCTATGTTTCTGTTTGTGCCTTACACTAGCTGGGTGTGCATTTCACCCCAACATGATTTATTTATATCAACACTTATGTCAAAGTAATAAGAAAGCCTAAACCGCAGAGAATTACTTTTAAGATCAGCAAGATTTTGTGTTGTGTGTGGTGTATGTGTATGTGGTGTATGTGTAGGCACATTTGTGAGTGTAGGACAGAGCTTGATGAAGCAGGTCTTCCTCAATGATTCTCTACTATATATATGCAGCCTTGGTTGGCCTGCAACTTGCTATGTAGTGAACTCACAGAGATCCACCTGCCTCTGCCTCTCCAGTGCTGGGATCAAAGGTGTGTGCCATCACAACTCTCAGCTCACCTTATTTTGTGAGACAGCTCTTTCACTGAACCTGGTGCTAATTTGGCTCAACTGGCTGGCCAGTGAGCCCCAGGGATCCTGTATTCACTTCCCTGTTGCTGGTGTTGTAGACATGTGCCTCCACACCTGGTGTTTATGTAGGTGCTGGGAACTGAACTCGGTGTCTCATGCTTGCACTGCAAGCACTTCACTGACAGCCATCCTTCAGTTCCCCAAATGGCATTGGTTGCACTTACAACTTTCTCGTGAACTTACAAATCATGATTGAACCACAGTTGCAGAAAGACTGTGCCTCCTGCAAAGCATTGCTTGGGACCAAGCCAAACTTTAGGATGTTTTCCTGAAGTTTCATTTGTAAAACTGTCAACGAAAATACCAGCTCTAACCATGAACTAACTGCAGTGGAGTTAGGCTTCTCAGACTGGGTCTGATTTCTCTTCCCATATTCAGAGCCTTGTTTTTCCACACCAGGGTTAACAACAGAGTAACAAATAGTTCTTACTTAATACACATAAACTCCGAGAACCAACCTTTCCATTACATTTAGAATAGCACGTGGCAGTTTATTATTAAGGACCATTTATGCCAGGAAACCTGTTGAGCAGGAAAGCTTCAAGTGGGAACACAGAATTTAGTGAAAGTAGTCTGTGCACAGCCCTTCTATTTTAATACGTCTTGTTACATTGTAGTAACAGTGAAGAACTCATAGACTTGGAAAAACTCCAAACTAATGCAAAATGTAATTGACTTTTTGATCAGAAAATAGAAATAGCCCATTGACAACCAGATAGTCTTAGCCAATAAAAATCTTAAAGGGAACTCATAATTTTTTTGTTTTTACATTATTTTATATGTATGTTTCTCTCTCTCTCTCAACCCTGTGGGGCCCTGGGATTGAACTCAGGTTGTTGGGCTTAGCAGCAAGCAACTTTGCCTGCTGATCCACCTCAGCAGCCACAGAATTTTTTAAAATTTCTGAATCTGTTTAGAAATGGCACAAAACCAGGAGTGGTAGCAAATGCCTTTAATTCCAGCACTTGGGAGGCAGAGACAGGCAGATCTCTTTGAGTTCCAGGCCAGCCTGTTCTACATATTGAATTCTGGGTCAGCCAAGGCTACATAGTGAGACTCTGTCAGTATTAACAAAGCAAACCAAAACCAAAACCAAAAAAACCCTTCCTAAAGAAGTCTTAATTTTGTCCAATTGCTTCTGCTAAATCCAGGTCCCTCCCAGACCCTGATTTAAAAGCACCTGGAGCCAGGGAGAAGGCTCAGGGCTTTAAAAGCACTTGCCACACAAATACCTGATATTGTGGTGAGCACCTGAAATCCTGGAACTCCTACTGTGAGGTGGGAGGCAGAGACAGAAGAGTCAGCAGGGAGCTGGAAGGCTAGGAAAAGAAATGGAACAGACTCCAGGGGTGGAAGCAGGAAGTTGTCCTTTTAACTCCAGATGCCATAGCCTTACATGCACTCCCTTGCTGTTTCTCTCTCTCACACACATAAATTTACAAAAAGCAATGAAGAGTTCAATTTTCTTGGATATATATTTTTCTTGAATAATTTCTACCTTAAGGAGAGAAAAGTCACCCATCCATTGCCCCCATGCACATCTAAAAGCTCAAATCCAGACTGTTTAGCCTTTATCTTCCTGACATTCCCCTCTCCACCTGCCATCTTGCTGATTTTCTGCATCATTTCACTTTTTATATTCTGACTTAAAATATGCTAAATAGGCATATGCATATGCTTCTGCAGATGGGAATGGTCACATACTTCTCAAAAGCGGTAATGCGCAAGTCTTAAAAGTGTGCAGAAACTCCAAGGGCCCATCCCTTCCTTCTAGGAATATACGCTAGGTTCAGAATAACCCACCAGTGGAAAGAGAACTGCACACCTGCTGAGGGATAGTCAACCTGAGTTCATGTAAAAAACCAGCAACTAAAATGCTGAACTTCAGGTGTGTTGGGTGGTTCCATGTAGATGGGAAGGCTTTTCATGTTCTCTGTAGTTATGAGCAGCCTTCCTACCAATGTGGGTACACTACTGGCTGGTGTGTCGCTTTGCTTATGTCTTTTGCACATGTACCCACTAGCCAGAATCACTGATATTTTTAGCTTATTTTGAAAAATCATTAGCTCATGAAACTATTACTCTTTAGCTCCTCTGCTACTGAAATGTGCCGAGACTGGACATGTTCAGCTCGTGAGATTCAGATTGAGAGAATGGCTTACCAGGTATGACAAGGGTAAAGAAGCACTGTTTCTTTTTAGGTTGAGAAGGAAAAAAACATGTTCTCTCAATTTCTAAATAGTTACTTCTTTTTTTGAGACAGGGTGTCACTATGTAGTCCCTGGCTAGGCCTGAAACTTGCTACATATGCCAGGCTGGCCTGGAACTCACAGAGATCCACCTGCCTCTGCCTCCGGTAAATGTCTGTGCTGCCATATCCTGCCTCCAAATAGTTACTTCTTATTTGAAATTTATGTGAGTCAGAGAAACAAGGTACTGCAGCCAACACTTTTAATAAGAATACAAAATTCACACCAGAGGCACATTCTGGGGAATGTAAATGAACTATATCACAAGAGTTATTCTGCTGGAAGAATAAAATAAGGCTCTCTCAGAGTACAAATACACAGGAAGGAATGATTCAAAATAGGCTTATGATTTACAATCACAGTACATTGTATTAAGGACTCAAACAGGCATATTAATTAAAAAGCCAGCTAAAAGGCATCTGGACATATATAACACATCTTACAGTTCACAAAGTTCATGTATAACAGTAATTTTAAGCACTTCATTTTAACACAATAGAAACAAACGTGAAGAGATCTCTCTCAAAATACTCATGTGTATAACGAAAGTCAAAAGATCTTTACGTTTAAATAAGATTATGTTACCGAGGAACCCCACAGTGGACAGGCCAACCACACACACACAAAACTAACAGTGTTGCATGAGGAAGATAGTGCTGGCCTTTCCAACATTTCCCTTCCTGTGACCACCACCATTACCCAAATGGAAAAAATTCTTCCATAGTCCCATTCCTCAAAAAGAATCAAGAGAAACTGAACAAAAAGCTCAAAAGTTGGTTTCACCATAAACCTCAAGTGTGCTTCAGTGAGAACAAAGAAACCCAACATTTACAGACTATTCCTTTCCAAAAGGAACTGACATATCACACATTATCTGACAGGGGTTTCTTCATGGATTATGTACACTGGTATTTGCGAAGGCACATATGTGTGATTTAAGGCTTAATCGGCATTGTTACATATGGAAATTACTGAAAGCTGTCTAGGAATTCACTTCTATCAAAATGGAATTTACCCCCAAACTAGCTTTCTAACTATAGATTTCTACTCTAGAAACCACCAAGAATTTCCATGTCTACATGTTTTTTTAAAAAGCAAACCTCTCTTATCAGGTTTCATTATAAATCAAAATTGTCTACATAACTCTAACAACTTTGAGTGATACAAGTTCATAAGTTTAAACACTTCACAGAAATGATGGTGTGATTCCTGTCTTTTTTTTTTTTTTTTAAAAAGAAACTTCTAAACAAAATAACAGTGGTACAGATTCATTTAAAAAAGATAAAGATATCTGCCACAACTCCATGAGCCAATCCACCATCCACACTGCCTCCCTGTGGTACTGCAGGACGCCATATAATTTACTCTGCAAAATAGTTTCTTTTTTAAGACAATACGTGAACATGAATCTCTTAAAGATGTTTAATATATTCATATATAAAATATCTGATGTTGATACAAATCATGTAAACATCCTTTTGGAAAAATTACACCTGGCCCTCATGTCTGGAACCAAAAACTTTGAATTTTTATCTTGTCAGTGCAAATCTATATTAGATGTTTTCAAACTATAGAAATAGCCATCAACCCTTACAGTACAAAAGGATTTCTTAAAAAGGAAAATTACTATGTTTAGAATTATAGAAATTATGCTTACACTAAAACACCCACCTTCCCATCAAATTTAACAGTTCAATTGTTAAGGGAGGTAAGGGAAAATTAAAGCTGTCTGTGCAAGATTCACTACAAGGGCCGTCACCCCACTGCTTTCCCCAATGCCGCTTCGTTCTTATTAGGTTTATTTAGTTGTATAACAATAAAACTGTTCTTTCTCTTCCAGGTGAAAGTTTACTGTTCTTCAAGCCAAGATGGGGCATCAGCTCCAGGAGTTTTCAATTTGATATGGAACTGCTTTAGTGTCTGTTCAAGCTGCTTCTGATTCCCAGCGAAGTAGGCTGCAATGGCGTTGTGGAAAAGGACGAGCTGATTGTGCAGCACTTTAACCTGTGGACAGGGTAGAGTGACAAGACCAAGCATTAATATCAGGGACAACAGACCAACAAGCGATTTATTATACCCCTTAATTAAACAGTGTCTCTCTACAAGAAAAGCCCTTTTAATAATGACAGACTATTTCATCCACACCAAGTACAGACTGTCTGGTGGGGTCACTGAGTCTTTATTCCCTAGAGGGAATAAGTCTGCTCAAGATGTTTTGTTTTTGCAGTGCTGGGCATAGAATTCAGGGCCTTGCGTGTTCTAACAATGAGCTAATTCCCCAGCCCTGTCAATTATTTCCAAACATTAAAACTTGTGAGATACAGAAAAAGGAACATTATTTATAATTACCATACAATATCAGTGGCTAAGCTTTATGTAAAACCATATAGGCGGAATACTTTTAATTTCTTTGCAAGAAATCAAATAATAACAAGGGTTGCCCAGAGTCAGTTTATTTAAACTTCACATAACTCTCCTTTACTTTTAATTGCTTATTTATTGCTTGTAATAATACCAAGAGTCCATTTACCAAGTAACGTACCTCTAGAAATCTTTCTTGAAGAAATAAGCCACCACAAAGATTCATGAATTGAGATGTTTCCTTTCTTGAGGTTTTATTTATAAGCACAAAGTACAATGTTCTGATTTACCTATCTAGTGTAACAGTCCCTAAAACTAAACCAATAATTTTAATGATGGAAAAGTATTTAAAATATGATACTATATACAAAATAGAAAATAAAATTTTATGTGGTATGACAGCTGCATCTATTATCTTTGTTTTCATTTCCAAAAGCATTTTCTAACCTGAGCTGCTCTCACCTGAGTCTACCCTGACACAGTCTCCCTTCTGGAGAACAGGTCCCACGAATTAGTCAAAGTCAACTCCAAGGGTAATCTGCTTTGACCAAAGGTGGGGAAGCCCCTGGATGACCTTAAGCATGAAAATGTCTTAAACAAGGATTTAAAGTATTATGAATTATGAAAGAAATGACTGAAAAATTGTTTGAGAATTTCTTTTCATCAAAAGATAGTGAGGAGAGTGGCTACAAAGCAGGGGAAAGTATAAGTACTGTATGTGCCTAGCAAAGGGTATGTATTGAACTCGGGTCATCAGGCTGGTTGACAAAGACTGAACATAGCTAATTCACCAAGGAATAGTTACAGAGGACAAATAAGCATATGAAAAGACATCCAACATCCTTAGCTATTAGGAAACTCCACAGTGTGATTCCATCTGGAACAGCAAAGATGCAGAGCAACTGAAGCTCTCCAACAGTTTGTGGAATGGAAAACAGAAACGCTTGCCAGTTTCTTAAGGAGTTAAACGTACACCTACCCTGAAATCCAACTAATCCACTAGGTATTTCCCTGCACATTTGTCCACGAATGTTCATAGCAGGGTCAGGATTAGAACTAGGGGCCCATTTACTTGTGCTAGCTTAAAAGAGGGAAACAAATGACAATCAACAGCGATTAGACAAATTGGGCATTCCCATAAAATGGAGAAATATTCAACAAGGAAATAAAATAATTGATACACACAACATGGATGAGCTGTAGAAACACGGTATTTTATGAATGAAACTAGAAAAGAGGATACAAGCTGTTTGGTTTCATTTATATAAAATTTAGAAAATGCACTTTATTCTTTCTTCTTATGGCTTTCACATTAGTGACCTACCTAGGCCACAAAGTAACTCCCCACCTTGCTCTGCTATCAGTAGTAGTAGTCCACCTATGTTTTGCTTTTCTATGTTGGATGATCCTCGAATTACACAGTAAATAAGGGACTTTTGTATTTTGAGTGTGAAAGCCCAATTTCCACAAGGAGGTTCTGACTAGTCACTTTACTGTTGTTTGGGTCACAAATATTTCTTGAATTGAATTTTAATGCATCATACTTTTCAAAGGAAAGAACAGAAGCAGAGCATGGAATTTAATTCACACACTGGACCTGTAAACAGCTGTTAAGAGTTTAAAAAGTTACAGCACCGGGAAGAGGGGACAGCATGTGAAATTTTTAGCTGACCCTGCAAATGTCAGCACATCTTTCTCCAGTCTTGGATGGGTAACAAACCAAGCAAGATGGCAGATAGCTGAGGAGACCTGGCGGCTTACAAAGCTCCAACTAAGGACCTCTGTTGTGCTTAAAATGATCTCCCACCCCACAGTGAAACTTAATCCATGCAACACCAAGGAAAAGGTTGCTTTTAGGACTGAATTCTAGTTGTGTTTTCACAACAAAGTGATATACAATACCCACAGTCACAAAAAACATCCTCCCAGCAACCCTGAAGGTTGACCTGTAAAGCCTTTTAAAGAAAACACTCCAGAACACTCCCTAATGCAGACGTTCAGAACCTACGGGTGCTGCATAGCTTTGCAACCAGAATGGACAAAACAAAAAAACCTTCCAAATACAAATGAAGTATAAAATTTCATCTTCACTTTGATACCAGAAACTATTTTTTCCCCCGACAAACTGTTTGTACTTTACCTGTAGCAAAAACAGGTAATTAATTTTTCTACAAATACTGATTATTACAACAGACACATGTTTAGTTTTGGTACTAATGTCTTCAAAATACAAATACAAATCTAAATTTAGACACTAATCTAAATAAGATACTGACTTTTAGCTATTTAAAATGTTAGTAAATAAAAATAAAGGCAAATAATTGAATTCCCAGTGCGCATACTTTATAAATTTAATGAATTAAAAGCAGTGTAGTTTTTTTTTTTGCTTACTAATTTACGATATACACTTATACAATGTCCTCAGTATGGCTATGTCTGATATGTTACAGACTATTTTGGTTATTAAATAAACAGAAGTCAGGCTGGGGAAATGGCTCAGTGGGTAAGAGCAGTGGCTGCTCTTCAGAGGACCTAGGTTCAATTCCCAGCACCCACATGGCTGCTGACAACCATCTGTATGTAACTCAAATTTCAGGGGAATCTGATGCCCTGTTCTGACCTCCACAGGCACTACATGACATGGGTGCACTTATATACATGAGGCAATACACTCAAACATATAAAAGTAAAATAAAATAAAATATTAAAAAAAACTCTAGCAGTTATGTTTTAAAAAAGAAAAAAAAAAAAATCAAGACACTGTCACATGTGCACCTGCAACCCTAGGAGACACAGAGGCAGGCCACCAGCCTGGCTCCAGGTTCAGTGACAGATTCTGTCTCAGGAATAAGGTGAAGAATGATAGACCTCCTGCTCTAAAATGAAGTATAAAATTTCATCCCTGAACATCTCCTGTGATTTCCCTAGAATGGGCACACACACCCTCACATGCACATACCACCCACCCACATCACAAACACACACCCAAAAGAGAAATCATTACCAATTAAAAGGAGTAAGAAAGCAGTACTAGAAAAGCAGTTACAATATAATTTTAGTATAATTAACTTCTGCAATCTAATTACAGGTTGAACATCCTGATTTGAAAAATTTCAAACAGTACAACTCATAACTCTTTGAGTGCTGGTTATGATGCCACAGGTAGGAAATCCCATACCTGATCTCATCATGTATGGGCTGCTGTCAAAACCCAAGTACGCTGAAAATGTTGCATGAAATTATCTTCATGCTCTGGGTATTAAGGTAAATATGAAACGTACATAAGCTCTGTGTTTAGAACTGGGTCCCTTCACCAAGATAACTCATTTTGTATATGTAATATTCCTAAACCCAAGAAAATCTAAAATTGAGAACACTCTGGCCCAAGCACTTCACATAGATACTTGACTTGTTATGACTACTGTAACTAATGACTGCTGTAACTACCTATCAGACTTCAATGCCACATACAGTATCACTTTAGTTTGTTGAAAAGATCAATCCATTTCTTTTGGGGCAGGGGGAGGCTGAGGATGAAACCTAGGGTTTTGTGAGTTCTGAGGCAAGTGTTTTACACTGAGTTATATTCCAAGCTATCCCTAGCCTCAAGAGAGAGAGAGAGAGAGAGAGAGAGAGAGAGAGAGAGAGAAAGAGAAATAAAGCAACAGAACTTACAAGGTTAAGTACCTGCCTAAGGCTAGACCTGAAGGCAGATGACTGGGGTGTGAGGACCTTGGAAGTGTATTCCTAGACTGCTTCATGCTCCTTCACCTAGTCTAAGGCAATAAGGCAATAAGCAGTTTAGAAAACTTCTAAACAAAACAGCAACAACAAAAAATCAAAACAAACACAGTGAGAGAGCACTTTCAGGAAGGGTAGAGGTACAGAAAAGATATGCTTTAACCTTATTCTTAATTTTGTCTCTAACTCCTACAGCTGCACTTAAACATCTTTGGGACTATAGTTGAAGTAAATAGAAGAAAAGTTCTTTGTTTCTAAAATTATGAAACTAATACAATATTAAACCTCTGGGTGTATGTGTGCGTGTGCATGTGTATGTGTGTGTGCAGTGTGTGTGTGTGTGTACCTGTTCATGCTAAGTGCTCCGCCCCCAGTATGCACCCTAAGTCCCTACATTAAGGTTTCATATAGTCATTCTGTGCATACAAAGCAGAAAATTCTTATTGAACTATTATATCCTTAGAAAAAAAGTTTTAAGCAGTTAAAAGGATAAATAAAATACAACAAAAATCTTAAAACTAGGAGCAAAAGAGGTAAAAATTATAGGTAGAAATGAGATGACAAATTTGATAAATTTTCAAAGCCTAACATCAAAAAAATGCTTTATGTAGAAAGACACTAAATCACTGTGAGCTCCCATGAAGACCTGCCACACAGTGAGTGACCCAGATCAGATATAAGCAAAGCCACCACAGTACCATCTGTTGAGTGACCTAAACAAACCATACAATAATTTCATTGTTAAAGGGCAAAACAAACTCCAACACTGACTCCTAAGGCAGAAATGAACCGGTCTTTTAAAGGGAAACTGGGTAAGAGAAACTTAAGAGCAGGACTGCAAGATGCTGCCAGTGGACAACACAGAAACTTTCTCCTGCTTGCTCAGCCTGCGCTGAGAGAAC